AATATCTTTGTGATCCATCCATCTGACTGGATCACGGCTGTATTCTCAGAAGCACAGTGCCCCGTGAACAGGTTGCCAGTTGATTATATGCCTAACACAGACAAAAAGGCAATCATTCAAGCTTCTCCTGCATCCAGTATTTAGAACGGCCAATTAACCTAAGATTCATGTCTGTGGACTGTGAGAGGAAGCCAGAGCATCTGGATTAAAAAAGGGCAGACAAGGGGAGAACATGCAAACAACAGGCAGGTTTGATCCCAAAACCAGTATCAGTATTTGCCATACTTTGACAAAGAGCAATTAGATAACTGTAACCAAACCTTAGCAATGGCCACAGTGCTTTTCTAGCCTTATTTCCAGCAGCTAAAAGAAAGAAATGCATTTTAAAATCATGGTGATTAAATGTAAATAGAGCTTCACTGTGTCAATTAAACAAAAGCTTTGTTCTTGTTCAAATTGTTAAAAAATTCCCAGCATCTGGTTCCCCGGGTGGCCCGCTACATCAGATGAAAACAGATGTCTGGAAGCCTTCACCGGTCCTCATTTGTTTTAATCTGCTACTTTGGTCTAAATCTATCACTGTGGTGCTCTGCAGCATGGCATTCTTTCATTGTGTCAGACTCTGACACTGCAGGCTAGTTTATCTTCACAGTTTGAGTTTGTGCTGCAATGTGGAGCAAAGAAAATAAATGTTTAGGGGAATGCGCTCAGACATGTGTGTGTTTGAGAAAGAACAATAGGTTGAGGGTGGTAGACAAGTCAAATGGTGGATCAAGGGAAAGCTTGAGGTGTACGCTTGCTATTTTGTGGCCATTCGCCCCCAAAAGTGATTTCTTTATCTCATTTCTCAGTGTTTAGAAGCCTGGAAAGGGAAGAAGGCTGGGGGAAAAGGACGTGTAAGAAAGAAACAAAGACAGAAACGTTATTTCTGGTTTGTTTAATTACGTCAACGTGATTGACGGTCAAAGGAAAACGATTTCTTTATCTGGATCCTCAGTCCTGGGAAATAAGAGGGGACGGAGAATTAGAGGAGAAAGCAGAAGTGGGGCAACGAGAATGAAATGGAGTAAAACACTGTGTGCTTCGGGATGTGTGTTTTTCAGTCTACATGTACAAGGTATGTAAAGAAGTGCAGTGATAAAGAGGCCGCGAAGACAGCAAAGAGAAAAAGAGAGGGTGCGATTAGAGAGAGAAGAAACTCCAAACTATTGAACGGCGTATCTGGCTGTGTACACAGCCATCTGTACGCAGGGCCCTGAACCCATTTAAATTCAGGACGATTGCACTGTTTCTCAAATCCTTCAGAGCTGAATGCTTTTTGCACCCCGTCGAACAGGCTCAGAAGAGTAACACTGCGTCTGAAAATACGAACAGCAGCAGCACACGGAGGGCAGATCTCTTTGTCTGCTTAGAAAGGCAGCATTATCCACCAGGCAAGACACGTTTACACCGGGCGGCCTACAGGTTCTCACTTCGTGTTTTCATATCATTATTGATGGGGGCATTTTACGGTGTGGTGGTTTTTGTTCAAAATGCCCGGAAGGTCAGTCTAACAGCATGGCCGGTCAGCTAACATCAACCAGCTAACAGACATGGGTGAGGACAATAAAACATCACAACCGGCTCAGTTTTCAAGAGTGTGTATGTGATTGAATCTCTTGGGCATGAAGTGAATATTGGAGACTGACTGATCAGTTCCTAGAAGAGAAAGCTTAGGTTGTTGGTTCATCAGACATATGCAGTCTAAGCAGTCATGAGTCGGCTTTGTTGGACTATAAAAACAGGTCAAAAGCCAACACTTTGGTAACCACCCTACCCAGTAAAATGGTAATTCAGTGCAGTGGTGTGGTAAAACTTCCCCTGTCTATAACGCTGCTCCCACAGCAGCGTTATAGACAGGGTTAAGTTTTATTTCTGCCTCAAGCTTGTACTTGATCCCAATCAAAAGGGCACGTTGGCATCTAGACAGGTACAAGAGAGCCATTTGGGAGATACTTATTAATAAAAATACAAAACTGAAATGGAGAACTGTGTGTCACACCCCAAACAGGCAACCTGTTGCTTTTTGTACCTACTATTTTTTTGCCAAGATAAAATTATAATATTGGGCTACTGTGCCAATATTTACTTACTGGCACAGTGTCCCACTAATTTCATCTGACTGCTGCACTCAGGACAGTTGCAATCAATGTAATATATATACATAAATTAATTGATTAGTTTTGTTTATCTTGTGTCATGGTTTATAGTGTAATTAATATTTTACACAATTCATTATTATTTTCTCGTTCTTTCCTCATGTTTTTCTCTCTTCTGCATTTCCCTGCTTCCCTCTGTGTGTATTCCACATTCCTTTCAGTTACTTCCCATTCATATTACTTCCTTATGTGGCTTGCTGTGTTTTGAGTCCCTGTCTTGTTATCTAATTGAATATACCTGTGTCTTATTATATTTGGTAAGTGTGTCCCTTTCCTCAGTCTTAATGACCTTGTCGGGCTTTCCCCCTCCTACTCCTGTGTCTCCCACTGCTTCATTTTCTTGCTTCCTTCTGATTTTCTGTTTGAACTTTGGATTATTCTGCCATATTCTTACAGTACTTTTTTTTTTTTTTTTTTTTAAATCAAAAAGTCAGATTAAGGATGATTTTCCTTTTTACAACATACAGCCTTTTTGTGCCTTTGTTTTGGTCTGCTAAAGACAGCATCATTGTATACAAACAGGCATCTGCCCACTAACTTCCTCCATCAAATTAAGGCAGATGAAATATGGCTTTTCTTTTATGTCCTTTCTCCTTTGAGAATTCTCCAAAAGCTTTCAAAGTGATGCTTTAAGCAGACACACAAATGCACAAAAATACGCCAAATGATTCGTGTCATTATTTGTAGACCGACCATTTTCACTCTCTTATCTTCCCATACTTGCACTTGATAGGGACCTGTATGCAAGAGTCTCATACAGTCCAATAAAGTCAATAGAAATCCCTCCAAGTCACCATGAAACCCCCAACCCCCACCTGATTGATCTTCTTTCTATAGACGTCAGAATTAAATTGGCTAAAACTAATGACCATGTGAAGTCAGAAGTGGAAAGTGCGTTGGCTTGTAAACAGAAAGCATTGTGCTTCTGGTTGAACTCCCAGTTCACCATCACGATTCAGTACAACCTATGCATCTGTGCTAATGCTGGAACAATCCATCAAATCACTCCCCTCTATTGTTTTCTATGCAATTTCACAAACTCAAATTTCACTTGTGCTTGAACTTCTCCCTCTACACATTCAGCTGAAACATGTCATATAATGTAGCTCCTCTGTTTTTTACTTTTTTCCACCAAGTCCAGCTGCCGATAAGTGAAACTGCCACATCAGACTTTACATAAATGCACATCTAAAACTATAACCGTTTGCTGTTCCAGATTGACAGGTGTATTACATTAGATGAAAATACAACCCCATCTACTGCACGAGTACATAAATTCATAAACAATCATCCCTCACCCTCTCAGGATACCATGCAGCACTTAAATCAGTGCATCTCATCAGCACCCATTCCATCAACACTTTGGTTGCTGACACTCAAGGGCAGCCTTTAATTTCAGCCAGTGATGAATGAGCTGGTGGGACAGAGGGAGGGGGATGAACTCCAATCAAGGTGCTCCTATGGGACTGTTATCAATGGGGTACTTCCGGAAACATCTGCCACATGGCTATCTATCATCAGATGACCAGAGAAGCTGCAGTGGGGAATGATGGGCTCAGCTGTGAGGCTTGTGTGGCTGTTGGTAGAAGCGCACCTTTTGAGTTTTTCATCACTGTACTTTGTCATTACATGATCAAAATGATAGTGGGACAGGTTAGCACGCATTCTCCGCCTGTAATAAATCAGTGATTTTCTGTAATGATAAGAGAATGTGGTGATGGATTTCTTGAAAGTGTCTCGGTATGCTGTACAACCACATCTTATCTGATCTACGCGGAGCATGGAAGTTATTCCAGGGAAGCGAACATCTTCAATAAAATTGAAACCTATCAGAGCTCTGAACAAAAATCTCATTTAAAATATGAAACACAAATTTGCAGAAATGCTGTGCTGTCGTCTTCAAGAGACGAGCTTTGAGCTGCGGGTGTCAGAAAGGACATTCTGTGTTTCCTTTAATCAGTGAACAAACAGAAACACTGTTGCTGGAAGCAAAGAGCAGAAAAAAAGTAGCTAAATTTAAAAAGTGTAACATTTCTTCCTTGTTTTATTTTAGGACGTGTTCTCTCGTTTTAAAAGAGGATTCTTCCAACATGCTAAGCCCTGTTGCTTCTGTAGTGTGTGTAGTTCAGAGTGATAAAGCCCATGGTGTTTGGTGTGATTACCCCAGATGCTGCCTGGCATGTGACTAATGACTTGCGATTCACCCTAGGTCAAGTCTGAGGCTTCTGCTTGAGCTTTGAAGCTTGTTTACCCTGCTGCTTAATGCCCATGAGACCTCTATGCTCCCCTCCGCTCCCTGCATACCTTCTAGACAAATTAAGTACCTGCACTAGAAAAGGATTTTTTTTTAAGAAAGAAAAGAAACAGTCTTTTGGTGCTCAAAGCAACAACAACCAAAAAAAAGAAAGCAAAAAAAAACACATTTGAAAAAGTCAGCAGCAATGTCTCTTTCCAGAAGTCATGACAGTGTTGTTGAAAATCCACAGAGCTTGTTGAGAAATGTTTCAGGCAGGAACTTTTTTTCTGTTAACTGTCTCCATCCTCCAACCAAGAAGCATGAAGCTAGCTAACGTTAACGTTGCCAAAAAGGGACACCATCAGTATTCTCATGCCATCGAGCAAAAGCCTCATCGGGGGTGGTGGATGCTTTTCTCTTTCAAGTGATGAAAACAAAAAGTTGCACATGAAGCTGCTTAGTACTTCACTTAGTTAAGACGTGTGGATTTCTTCATTCCTTTATGGCTTGATCTGGCATGATTTTGTCAAAAACACATTGCTGTCATTGGGTTTTACTGTACTCACATTGTTACACGGCCTGGTCCGTGCACAGGGAACTCACACCAAAACTGAAGCAGACTGTGTGGGGAGTGAGAAGGACCCAACTGCACACACGGAGGGAGACGGAACTAAGGATAAACAAAAAGCGAGCTGTGTATTATGGCTGATACATGAGTACAAAATAAAGCAACAGGGGCGAAAATAAACCTGAAACATAAACAGAAAAAACTAAACTGAGGTAACTATGTCAACGGACACGAACATGATTCTGAACAGGCACATGCGAGAAACTATGATACATGAAACATGACAGACAACCTGACAAAGACTGAATGAAAACACACAGACTAAATACACAGAAGGATAATGAGGCAAGTGGAAACACCTGGGGAGACACAGCTGACACAAATAAACATAATAGCGCCACAGGGGAAGAGTAATATATGCACATTGAACATAGAAACCTCAAGACTTTCAAAATAAAACAGGAAACATGGAGACACGTAGACATAATGACACAGACTAGACAAGATGACACACACGGACAAGAAATACATGACATACTGACACTGAAGACTAGAAAAGACTTGCATGAACTGCACCTTTAGTTTGAAATGTTCCTGCATGTTTCTTTTTTCAGAAATCATTGTGTGCATATGGCATAAAGTGCAGGGCTTATGCTGTGGATTTAATTCAGTATTATAAAAAAATGTTGAATAATACCAGATCTGGCAAGTGGGGCTCTAGATGAGTGATGGCTGTTTTAGTGTATCAAAAAAAAACCCCTCAAAAGTCCTTTTTCACTGCACTGTGAGCAGATGCACACCGGCAAGCAGCACAGCTGAGGTTGTTTGTGCCAAACGGTCCTCTTCAGACACTTGAGGATGTTACACTAAACCCCAAATTTACAATGCAAAACCACGTGAATGGCATTAAAGAAAAAAAAAGCATAATCCTGACCTGACACACTGCTTTCAGGGATGGATACTGTGGATCCTTCCACTGAAAACTGCTGTTTGGTCTCTGAGTTGTAGCCAGTGATTCAGCTTTTCATCATCCTCAAACCCAAAATGATGATCTGTGGTTCAGTTTGAAACAGTTGATGTTTGCACTTTTGTCCAGTTAAAAGTAGGTGTTTATTTAAGCGGTGAGACAGGGATTTTTAGTGAGTGATCTAAAAATATTGGCTCAAAACCGCTGGAACCAGTCCAGAGGTGCACAAGAACATGACTTTGAAGCAGAGCCGTGCCAAATTTAAATCAGGTATTTTTTTATTCTTAATTAGCAGGGCTGGAAGACATTGGCAAATTGACCTGTTAAATATAAAACTGTTTAAAATCATTTGTTAAAGTGTGTACTCCATTTAAATGTGCTGTTATGATATCAAAAGGAAACTGAGAAGCATGGAAGATGGTGTGTACCTATAAAGACCACTGTACAAAGTGGTCATACAACCATGCCATCCATCAGGTTAAAGTAGACAAGTAATTAATATTGACTGGGAGCACTGAAGCTAAATAATCCAGTTGTTTTATCTAAAAGAATAATCTGACTGTAAAGCACCATAACACTCAACCTACAACAACACGATTTCTTAAACTCACAGGACTCCAAACTTTTAAATGTAAGAACTTCACTCACTAAAACTCTTCAACCACTTGAAAAAATTAAATTAGTGAACTGATCACAACTCAGACATGTAATTACACAAGGCTTCGTTTCAAAGGGTCACAAGCAAAACCAAGCAGAACTTCAAATTATTCTCATAGCGCCAGTATTTCAACACCATGAAGAGATAGCAGGTTCTTTAAATTCCATTTCAAACACCCTAATAAATTATGTTTAAGCTCATTAAAAAGCCTTCATTTAAACCAGAATGCTGCATTGAGAGTGACTAAAAGGCAGACCACATATTACTAGTTAAATCCAGAATTGGTCTTGAATAATCAACCCCTATCATCTCTTAAAGACGCTACACTGCAACACTATTGTATTTAATCATTAGTAATTGATTGGAAATTTTGGCTCCCTCACAGTCTGTCCTTTGGCCTGTCTTCCTCCCCGCACCACAAACCAGTCGCAATAGATGGCTGCCACTCCCCAAGCCTGGTTCGGCTGTGGGAGCTTCTCCTCCTCACTGTTGCCAAGTGCTTGCTCATGTGGGTCATTTGATTGTTTTGGTTTACTTTCTAATATTGTAGCTTCTTTACCTTACATTATAAAGTGCCTCGATGTGACATTTGGTTTAATTTGGCGCAGTATAAAATAAACCGAATTCAACTGATTTGAAATATTTGCTTTTTACAGTTCCAGAAATAAAAGCTGAATAAATGGTTGTGGTGACTGTCTTTGCAAAATGTGTCCACTGAAGGTTAGCCCAAGGACACTAACCCCACCACACCTCTGGATATAGCCCCTTAGCACATTTAGCTGGCTCCCATGCCTCTTTAATAAATAAAGCTGATTCCTCAGCTGTATTACAAGAAGCTGGAAAAAATGAAATGCCTGTGATGGGTAAAGGCAGGGCAAAGAGTCAGGCAGCCTGGAAACAGATAAAAATCAAAAGTCAAGCAGGATTTCTGGGGACTTGCAGCATCTAGCTCAAGGTTCACTGCTGGAGGTGTGTGTGTGTGTGTGTGTGTGTGTGTGTGTTTGAGAGAGAGAGCTGTGTGAGGCATTTAGTCTTGACCTTGCCATGCTGAATCCTATTTCCCTTTGGCTGTTGCCCAGCAACATCACCTTGACAGCAAGAAATGGCCAGAGAGAGATATAAAAGGAGGATTAAAACAGAAATAGGTCTCCCGCTTACTTGATACGTTAATATCACCCTTTGCTTAAAAGCTACACGATGGCTTTTTCCCACATTTCTGCAGTAGCAGGGACTTTTTTTTAATTATTATTTCAACCTAAGTGGGACAGGTCAAAGGTCAAAGGGAAACCGATAGCATCTGTGGCCCCTGTGGAAGGTTTAGCAGCTTTAATCTAAGAGAAGTTATGGCCTTCACTTGGATGTGACCCTGGGGAGGCTGCAGGGCAGTAGGTGGTCAAGATCAAAGTTGTCCTGCAGGACACTGGCACTTATGGTCAGGGAAGAGTCTGTACTGCTGCACAGATAAACATGATATAATATCTGTGTGCGCTCGCAGCTGCCCCGCCGAAGGCCCCGCCTCCTCACCCCAGGGTCCGTGCAAAATGAATGTGCTCTCTTCTTCAATCAAAGGGGAAGGAAATGATTGAGTGGCTCCCACGGAAGCATTTCATAGCCAGAAGAAAACGTTTGGCAAACAGGCAGGAAGATGGGGAACACGCAACATGGATTCAAAGGGGCAACATGAAGAGGCTAGTGCTATAGTTGTGACAAGGCTCATTTAAGTTTGTTTACATTGTTTTAGTATTTTATAGAAAAATATAGTAGAGACTTAATAACATGATAGTCTATCAATCAATTTTTATTACCGACATGAAGTTTAACTGTCACGTGGGATTTTCAGCTTTTACTGTCAGAAGCCACGGAGGTAACTGCTTACATGGTTACTACTACAACAATATCAGAAACAACAAGCACAAGTTTGTTTAGTTGATGACATTCTCATTAATGATGACATTACAGTAACGAACCTCTGAAAATGCTTTTAGAAAATTACTGTGTTTGCAAATTTTGCTTTAAGAAAATCTGAACAAGAAACAGAAGTAGTCAGACATGTTTTTGGATTAGAACATGATGGCAATCTTTGCGTGATTCTTTCATCTTTCACTGCATGTACTTTACAAAGCTTTGTGACAAGAAACTGTAGCAGACTTTCTCTTAAGAGAAGAAAAACACTTTTGTATGCTAGAGGCTTTCGGCAAGACGAGATCAGAAAATTGCTTCAATTCAGAGAAACCGAGGCAGACAGATTTATCTATATTATATCCCTAACTGCAGCGTTTGAGGATAGATGGGCCCAGGCTTTTATTTTGATAGAGTATAAATGGACAGGACTATCTAATGCATGTCAAACAGCCTCGCTTCAAAACACGATAACAAAAAGTGGAATTGGCTCTAAGGATATGAGCCCAACCGAACACAAGTTTTTACAAAAGAGATCGTGCCTACATTATGATATAGGTAACACTTCTATGCACTTAAAAGCAATGCACGTTTCATTTTTTGGCTTTCAGCCTGTTCAAAGCAGGTTCATCAGGCTACACATTTATCTTTTCTCTTCTTTTGTGTTATTTCTTGGTAAATGGTAAATGGCCTGTATTTATATTTCTTAAAAGCAATCAGCTGCAGAAACTGTTGGCTCTGAATCCAAAATATCTGTTGAGTTGAAACCGGTCTGCTTGTTCAAATTCAAATTCAAATTTTATTTGTCACACACACACAACCATACACAGTATGACATGGGGGTGAAATGCTTGTAGCTGTACAATGCCCGACCATTAAATGACAGAAGAAAAGTTTTACAATATTTACAATTTACAGTTTACTACAGAATTTACAAATTAACTTAGGAATTTACAGTAAAGAATGTGCAAATAGCAGAAGAGATTATAAAGATAAGGATTATAAATTATAGGAATTATAGGATTATAGGAAATGTGTGGTGGTGCGTGTGGTGACGTGTGTGAGAGTCCAGTCTTATAGTGATGTGTGTGGGAGAGTCCAGTCCTCATTCTCTCTGTTTTGGCCTTAAGGGAGCGGAAGCGCTTCCCAGACCTCAACAGTGAGAAGAGTCCATTGTTGGGATGGGAGAGGTCCATCATAATCTTCCTAGCTTTGGACTTGCACCGCTTGGTGTAGATGGACAGCAGGTCAGGGAGCTCTGATTGAATGATGCGTCCTGCCGAGCGCACCACCCTTTGCAGATCTCGTCTGTCCTGCTTGGTGCTGTTCCCAAACCAGGTGCAGATGTTTGACGTCAGGACGCTCTCGATGGTGCAGGAGTAGAAGTTCTTGAGCACCTTCAGTGGCAGATGGAAGTCTCTAAGTCTTCTGAGGAAGAAGAGACGCTGACGGGCTTTCTTAACCAGGGTGTTGATGTGACAGGACCATGACAGGTCCTGAGTGATGTGGACACCCAGGTATCGGAAACTGTCCACTCTCTCCACTGGCGTGCCACTGATGATGAGGGGTTTGTAATTCCTCGCCTGCTTTGTAGTGAAGTCCACGATCAGCTCCTTAGTCTTGCTGATGTTTAGGAGGAGGTTATTCTCCTGGCACCAGGTCTCCAGGTTCCTAATCTCCTCCAGGTAGGCCGTCTCGATGTTGTCGGAGATCAGGCCCACAACCGCAGTGTCGT